AGACAACTCGACTGCAAAGAATTCTCTCTTGCTCTGAACACTGGTGAGTAGCCAATATTTGTAAAGTGGTGCCTGTAGAGGTATGTTCCTTATTTTTCTGTGAAGAAGTCCTGTATCTGTGGGAGAGAGGAACAAAGAACTGGGAAAACTATCCATATAAACAAGAATGTCTTCCCCAGATCTTCCCCAAGTTGCTGAAGCAACACAGCCGGGGAGGTTCAGCATGCATACAGGTTGGGCAGTACCAGTTCTCTGAAAAGCATAGAGAATTTTGGGATCACAGAAGTTGTTCTTTTAGGAAACACATTTAAATTTCCTGGCAACTGATGCTACACAGGCCATTCCTAGGCCAAAACCTTCCCCTTCATCTGATCTTTTCAGGAAGAACAGAGGTTCCTCAGTAGAAGGGGAGACCCCATCAGTGAGTCACTGAAACCCCTCCCTCCCACAGCTTTGAGTTTGTTGGGGAATTTTTAATTATAAACTCAAGGTGGGAGAGCCCTTGTTCCTCTCAACTGCCTTCTTGCACACCCAGACCTTATGGCAAATGGAAGGAAAAGAAAAAAAGGAAGAAGAAAAAGAATAGTAAGCAAAGAGCCACAGACTCTGGGATGTTATCGATGCAACATTGCTGTAACTGCAGTGTTTGTAAAAACTGAAAAACGTACACAGGCAGGGATGCTACGTGGAGAGGGAGAATAAGAACTGATTTCTGAGGTGGGCATTGGGATTTCAGAGGTGAATGGATTTCAGAAAGTTCCACTGAACATGGGCTTGTGACTACAGCCACTGAAGGCAGAGTCTGTGCAGATCTCAGGATGGGCATATGTAAGTGTTGCCAAGAGTGAACGATCCAGCAGTGCCCTGCAGCGGGAGACTGGGTGTGGAGAGGCCCAGAACTGCATAGGGCTGCATGTACGCACGCTTTGCACTCTTAGGTATGCCTGTGCAAGATGCAGAACAACACAGCTTGGCTCAAGGTAAACACACGTCAGATGCTCTGTTTCCTGAGCAGATGGTGATCAGGACATAGTAGGCACGGGTTTGAGAAAGTTGCTTCACCTGCTCACCTGTTACATTGACTTCCCAGAGCAACTTCTTCTCTATGAGGCCCAGGGTGTCAATGAGGGAAGCCGTGTGGATGACGAGGGAGACCCCCTGACAGGCACGGTGCAGGAATGTCACATCTCGGATGTCCCCTTCCAGGATTTTCACCTCAGTCTTACACTTGAACTCTGCAAGAGCAGCAGAAAATGAAGCAAAAGAGTTTACAGGCATCCTAAGAAGAGCACTGAAAGGAGTAGTGAAGCACTGACCCTGGCTGGCAGGTGTTGACAGTCCCAGCACAGGAATGATATTTTAAGGCTGGTGGAACAGGAGGCATTTTCCAATGACTGTATTTTCAAGTGCTAATGGCAGTGCTATAAAGGTCTATGTTGCATTACCTACCACACATTTGGAGCCAATATTCAACACATTTTTTTCTTTTTTATATATAAAGAGAAACATTTTCCACTGATAGCAAGATTCCTTCAGGTGCGACTATTTTAAAGTTCACAGGGGAGTAGCTTTGGCTACCCATGTCCTGAAGACTGTGTGGCTATAGATGTGTTAACCCAAGCCAGGCGCTGCAAGCTCCTGTCTTCAAGGTGATGAATGATCTCTCTCCACCCACAGCATGTGAGCACAGAAATGTGTTCACACCTACTTTCTTTCCCTTGACCTTACCCATATTGCAGCTCTTCTAGTACATCACATACACTTCTGACACATCTTTTTCTTGTACATTCACCAGGACTTATTGTGCTTTTTCCAGCTCTAGCTCTGGCTCCATTTCAGCATCTGTGCTGTGGGGTCATTTTTAGTATGTACATCTTATCTGAACTCTCAAGACTGTTCTCCTGAGCTATCTCAGCCCTGGCTTGCTTTAACTCCTGATTTTTAAGCCCTCTCCCTCCACAGCAGCTAATGTGTATGACTCTGGTCAGCTCTAGGTCTCAGAGCCATCCTTGCCCTACATTGTGCTGAACAGAAGCATCTTTTCTACAGCCCAGAACTACACCAACAAATGAACCAGCACAAGATGATCACTTGGAGACGTTTACAGTCTGAGCCAATGCTGCTCTCCTGGGAATTCAACTGGCCTGGGTGCAGCAATGCCATGAGAGAGGAGAGGACTTTCTCAGCATGACCCACAGCTTTTAAGGAGGTGGTGTCATTACAGCGGGTCTTCTCGGAGACTCTGTTGTGGTTGCACTGGATGGTTCCCCAGGCGCAGCTGCTGGGGACGGACTCTGCAGCACAGGCAGATCCTCTGTCTTACTCCATAATCAAATGCCCCTTTTAGATAAGAGAAGAACCTGATCAATTTGTACAGCTTTTAGCCTCAGCCACATCTGAAATCTTGTGCATCACCAGCTCCAAAGCAAGCAGTATTTCATCTTGTGTCTTTATTATGAAACACTGAGAGAGGTAGCTGTTGGGATCTGGAACTGAGTGGGAATATCTTTAGGCATGCCTGTAAACTTCTTAGCTTGAATTTCTTAGTGTTCTTTTAGATAGGACCTAACATCTGTGAGGTGAAGCATGGGGGAAGGCATTCCTCATGAGAGCTCTCCATTTTCCAGATTAACTGGATGGTTCATTAAAATGGTCTACTTTGTGTATTCATGGAAGAAAATTTAAAATTGCATCTTATTTTAATTTGTAAAGAGTAAAGCAATTTATTTGCTTCTTTAGCTCAGAGCAGCTGAAATGTTTATTCTGTCCCCCTTTCAACTACTTGTTTCCACACTGCCTTTCTGTTTTGAATGCCCCGATAAAGGCAAATTAATGTCTGCAAGGTTGAGCAAAAAGATAGCAATTTTTCCTCAGAAAGAGTTCTGGAAAAAACCCATCACATTCCTTCTCCCTTTACTTTCCTTCTATTTTGGATCAGTATTGGGTTAGCAGTGCAAAACCATTCAATGCTCAAGCATCACACAACCTATAAATGTGTCTCTGAAAAATGACATGAAAAGAGGGTTCAGGGAAGGAGGGAAGAGATGTGCAGAGGGGTGAGATAAGGACAAGTGAGAAATCCTCTTGAGAACAATACTGGAGTTCTAACTTCGCCAGAAGTGCCAATGCAGTAGTGAACAAAAAAAGAATTGTGTTAAGTGGAAGACCAGGAAAGGCAGAAAGATAAATCTGAAGTGGGGATGGGATGTAGGAAACCCAAGGTACCGAACTACTGTGTTCAACCTGACGTTCATTCTCAGCCACACAATGTCACTGGGTAGACTCCAGCTCACAGCACTTGACATTAATTGGATCATCCTGAACTCCTCAGGGCTGTGGAAGAATGCTAATGCCACTATTCTACATAGATTGAATGCAGTGGTCAAGGTCTCAGCAGGAATGTTATTTGGTCGAAAGAGGAGTGTCCCTGAGTGTCTCCTGCCACAAGGAGCTGTAACTTGCACACACTCTTCTGTCTCTGCCCTGACTCTGCAAAGAGATTGCAAGTTCAAGGTGCTCAAGAGATTAGTGAGAAAAAAACCCACTCAGCTCTGCTCCTGGCTATTCAAGAAATCCAGATAACACCTGCTAGCAAGTAAAAGCCTCCACAGTAAAAATAATGCAGGTCAGAAGACTCCAGCCCTACAGGTTTTGTAGCAGCCCTGCACTTGGAATAGGAGTCACTGTGATAGAGAAGAGCTTGAAAGGGAATGGCAGGGCAATATTTCAGGTAGTCCCAAGCACAGGCTCTGGTAGGACACTTGAGGAGATGTAGCCACAAGGGCTGATCCAGACAAAGGAACTGCCAGTCAAAGTGCAGCGGTTCAAGTCTGTTTAAGCACATCTGGAATGCCAGCCTATGGTTCCTACTACAAGTTTATGGGGGAAAAAATGCTTTGATAATTGATTTTTCTCTACCTCCTGGGCTGGTCAGATAAGCAGCAGGAATTTTAAAAGAATAGGAGAGAGGGTGTGTGGGCAGTGCTCAGTGGAGGAGGAAGGGAGGATAAGAAAAGAGGGCAGAAAGCTTGCCTATTAACAAAAAAAGAAAAAATAACAAGGAAACCTTTGCTGCAGCTCAGCCAAGATTGTGCCCACACAAACAATTGTTTTCACTCCCTAGGACTGTCCTCACAGGCCCAAAGCAGTGCAGATGCCTCTGTTGCTGTCCTGCTGCATCAGTGCTAAACTACACACACTCCGGCTTCCTCAGCCTCTACTACAGCTGCAGGTTTTGTCTCTGTGGAAATGCTCTGAAAATCAGAGTAGGAGGGGCTGCTGCAAGGCTCAGAGCCATCTAGCAAAGAAATCTCAGTTCTATAAAATGATCATAAAGGCTTGTGCAATTTATACCAGGTTTATGGTGCACTGTTACTATTCTTTGATGATGTTTAAATGATTTATAGAAAGATTGAGGCTCTTTAGCAAATCATGTGAAGATATTCCAAAAGGGTTCACATATATGTATAGAAAGAGTCCTGAGGTGAAGATGTGATGAAGGAAAGCATTAATAAGTAAATGTAATGTAAGGATTTAAGACCTTGATTGAATTTTGGTCCCTCTGTGCCTTTTTATAGATGTGCTCAATATCTCAGGAAATGGGACATTAAAAACAATACTCTGAGCTGCTTTCCCTGCCACAGACTGTTTCTAACACTGGGCATATCACTCATTTGTGCTGTCTCCAATCCATTCAAGAAGCCAGAGCACTTTGCAAAGGGGTCCTGTCTCTTCTGCGCTTAGCACAAGTGTTCTGCTCTCCAGAAAACTGTGGTGATGTTAATAACAACAATTTTTAAAATACCTCCTCACAGCTCTCAGTCAGAAGATCACTATTAACCAAACTAACCAAAGGTTGAAGAAAACTGTTAGAATTTGCACCCACAACTTTGTCACTGCATTCTAGTCTGGCATATCAGAGCCCAGCACAACATGCTCTGGATAACACTGCCCTCCTGCCCAGTATAGCAAAGCTTGTGTTTTCCTTTCTCCTGAGCCAAAGAGTGAGATTTTTACATTAATTTTGCTCTGTGAGTTTTGTTGTAATAGAGGCCAGGTTGAAGACAGCCTGTTTACTGAATGAACAGTCTCTCTCTCCCAGTGTAGAGAAGCCTCAGTGCCTGACAAGGAAAACTCTTGTTTTCATTTTACATCTGATTTCTGAGCTGGAGGGAGAGGGAGGGATAAAGCAAGACTTCCTTGAAATAAAACTTCTATCTGCAAAGCTGGTTTGAAGGAGAGGATAAGACTTCCAAGCTATCCACGTGAGACAGCAACACATATACCTGCAACACACCGTCCTCATGAAATGGTACTTACTTTCAAATCTGCCGAGTGCTTCCTCACTAAAGGCTTTGTCCAGCAGTCTGATCTCAGCCAGAGCCTCCTCTTCTTCCAAAAGCAAGCGGACAATCCTCTGGCCAAGAAATCCTCCTGCTCCTGTCACCAGACAGCTTACCCCAGCCAGGGACATTGCTCTGGGTTGCTCCTCGGTGTCAAACTGGCTGTCTCTTGAGCTTAGGCAGGCTGGTTCACCTCCTGCCTGAGGGAATGAACATATGACATCAACCTCTGGAGTCTTTACAAATTAAAGGATGTTACCAGAAGGAGAGACTAATGAAAGACAAACTCTAATCTCTACAATAAGCAACAATATTTTAAGCATGTCTCACTTTTGCTAGCTATTGCTATTCAGAAGTAGCTTACAGATATTTTCATGCAAAGGAAAAATACTTTAAAACTACTGTAAGTGAATTAAATTAACAAATCAGAAAATGCTCAAAATCAACTTCAATGCCAAACAAACCCCACAAAAATCTGCCTCAATCCTTGGTTCCACCTCTCTAACACGCAGAAGACTGTGGGGGAGATTTGCCTGTATTTATACACTGCAGAGCACTACCTCACTCATTTTGCTCCCCCTCCCTCTTGAGTACCTCCTTTGCTGCAAAAGAATGTGATGCTTCCATACCACCACCACAACCCCTCACAAAGAGGAGAGCTCTGGATACAGTGATGTCTAAGCCTAGATGTGGTCCTGCAGCCCTAAATTCTAGGAGAGTAAACCCTCATGCTGATAATTCTCTCTAGCTTCACTTTCTTTTGTAATACAGTGTCAACATGGAGGTAGGGAGCATTAGAATTAAATATAAATAGCAGAAGTAGCTATTTAGAGTGGTTTGAGGAGCAGACTCTATTTTTTGGGTAGTGTGCTTCCCCGTTATAGCATGGGCTCCTCACTCTGTGCAAAATCAAAAACTAACCTCTGGGATTTTGTGTTTGTATATACATTTTGTATACTACAGGCATTCAAGGTGATGAAATGGTTTAATGTACCATCAAAGACAAATTAAAGCTGCGGGAGATAAAGATTCACCTCTGGAAATGTCTGGTGTGAGTGTACCTAATTAAAACAAGGCTGCTTGTTCCTCTGCAGTGAGCTGTGTTGTTTACATGTTCAAAACACAGGGAAAAAGCCCAGGTATTTCCTGCTTCTCCAGTTCTAGCAAAACTCCTTTCTAGTGTGAGACCAGAGCAGGGCTTAGGCATTAGCCTGAAGCTCCTAATACCTGTACTGCCTTACTGGGTCTGTCAAGACATGCTGCCTGCAGGTCAATTTTCTCTCTCTCACACACAGGGATAGACAGACATCCCTGCTGAAGCAAGATGATAAATAGGTAGCTACCTGAAGAGATAAGGAAGCTATGAAGAAGCCTGGCAACACAATTAATTAGGCTGAAATCTCCGGAAAATGGATCACTGATTTTGGGCACAGCTGGAATGAACATCTAAAAATGTTTTGCTTCCATTCACACGACTAACCACTAAGCTCCCTTTTTTATTCTATCATAGATTTTGTTCACTCATTAAAGAGAACCCTGGAGAAAAGCTATAGAAGAAGCATCCCCACATTGTTATTTTTTTTAGAGCAAAACTGGGCCTGCAAGGGACGGGAGGAGAGCGAAACCATTTCTGTTGGAGGAGAAAGGTTTCTAGCTGACACAGATGACAAAGTTTTGGCAACTGTTTCAATCCTAGCATCCTTGAAAATCCTTTCCTTGCACTAACAAATCTTTAAAAAAATTGTTATCAGTGCTTCTTTCCTTGGCTTTTCACGGGCAGGACCTTGACATTGTATGTTCTTATCAGAAGCTGCTGCAAATTAATTTTGTGCACTTTGCAAGGCAAAATAACTGGTCAGAGCCTGCTGCTGCAAGTGATATTCTCTGTAACAGGGCTTTCTTTTTACTTTTAGGAAAGAAAAAAAATGCCTTAAAGAGGCATTATAAAACCAGATAACACAGCATAGCCTCTTAAGATAGAAAACACTCTCCTACACCAAGCTTGCCTATTAGAATGACCAAGTTTAGCAGGGGTAGTGCTTATATGAGAATGAGTGCTGCATAGGGGACTGCAAGGAGATTTTGTCCTCTTGGGTACTATTCAGACAAATGCTTGGCTTAGTTTGAGGTAATTTTATATAACACTGCATAGCAGCCTTCATCTGAAATGTCATTTGTGAATGTCAGTGGTCAGACAGCAGTAGTTTGCTCAGTTCACACTCAGACCTGCTGGTGCTTCCTGCAGTCTCACCTAGAGCCAACATTTTCACATTTGGTTTTTGTTCACATTGCTGGGTGGGGTTGCTGGGTGGCTCTGTGCTGCAGACAAGGCTGGCTCTGGTGTTCCCGAAGGGGCACAAAGGCAGATGCTGGAATGTGCTGTACACCCCAGAACAGTGTCAATGAGCAACAAGGCCAGAGTCCACCAGACCTCTGATGACCAGAAAACAGCTTGATGAAATTCTGAGTTATTGCACAGGTATGGAATTTGCAGACTAAAACATGATTCAGCAGCATCTAAAAAAGTTTAGCAATGCTGTATTCTGTGTCAAGGTATAGTCATTTTTTAACTATGTTGATGTCTTCTCTTTGACTTCATTGTAAAACAAAGCCACCAAAATGTGTTTCTTACAACCATATGCCTGTAAGCTCAAAATCCCTAGATGTGGCAGCTCTGGGAAAGAGACTGTACTTTGAGATGTAGATTTACTCAAGGAAAGCTTCTGGCCTTCAGAGTGAGAGACACTGTTCCCTCTTGGAAACATTTTCCTTTCTCTTCTGGTTACACATTGACAAGAGGGAATAAGACTTAAATAATTAACTTTTGGGCATCTGTCCTGAATCACAGTCTGAATAAATACAACTTTTCATAGTGGGGAACAGTTATAAGACACTTTAATCAAGGTATGAAGATAACCACCTTAAGAGGCCTCAATGTTTCTGTGTGTTCAAATCTGAAAAAGAAAATATCTCCTATTTCAGTAGTACCAAAATTCTTCCAGTAGAAGGGAGAAAGTGATTGTAAATATTTCTTACATGGCCTCCAAAATCAAAGAGACTTACTTGTAGTCTTTGCTATATTAGACAGCACATGAGTTGGACAATTAACTAGAAACAAACATTTAGTCTCCTTTTCCCTTTTGTTTTAGGAAGAACTGTTTCCTCAGATGAAATTAAAAATTGAATTATATATTTAAAGACTGGAGAAAATTGCACCATATGCCAAAGGAAAATGTTTATATTTGGATCCATTTTGTAGATAAACTACCCTTGTAAATACACTGATTCCCTGTCCCTGCTACATCCTCCAGGGATGCTGTGAAACAGCAGGGTTTGATTAATCCTTAACTGACAAGTTTACAATATTTGGACACAGTTTTTTTGAAAGATTTAACCTTGCTTGAATTTATATCAGAGATATTCACAACAATCAAATACAGAAAGCAGAACAGAGTGCAGACAAGAGGGCATGAGACTTTGGTACACATTGGCATGGATCATAGAAGATTTCCAAAGTCTTGGAATAGCTGTAGAATGGACTTGTAAAATAGTCGCTCAGCCTACTCAAACCCTGTGAGCTCTTATTTTTAAGCTCACCCACCAAATACCTTTCTTTTTCCCTCAGAAAATGCTTTCTGCAGCCTCTTTCACAGAGATACACGGATGCTTCTGCAGCTGCATGGTAGTTGATCATGGCAGCACAGTGGTACAACATAGTACAGATATCATGTGCGGCTCTCATTTTATGATTCTGTGATATATCCCGACAATTTAGATTAAAAGGAGCCTCTGGAGGTCTCCGACCCAAGCGCTTCTTAAAGCAGCATCAGATCAGACAAGGTTGCTCTGGACCTTGTCCAGTCAATCTCTAAATATCTCTAAGGATGGAGGTTTCACAAACCATCTGTTGCAGGATTTGAACCCCCGTCATGGTGAATTTTTTTCCCACTGATTTCTACCTGGAATTTTCCTCATTGCCTTTCACACTTTTACTGTTCACATCGCAGAAGCTGGGCTGGATTTTCTCCAA